CCCCCCCCCCCCCGCTCCGGCCCCCACCACTGCTCTGCAACTCCGTCCTCTGTCTGGAACAGAATGCCCTGGACCAGCTGTGCAGCCCTGGGCACATCACCTCCCCTCTCTGAAGCTTGTGCTCCTGTGAAATTGGTGGGGAGGGGCTGATACCAGCCCCTCCCACCTACTCCAGGGGATCAGGTGAGACAACAGAACGTGACTTTCATCCCAGGGCAGCATCATCGGTTAATTCACCAGAAGAGGGGAAGTGCGTCCCAACGTGTAGAGGGAAGGGCACATCCTGATTAAGAGTCTGGGTCCTGGGGCCAGACTCCCCCCAACCTTAGCAGAGTTGCTTAACTTCTCAGGGCTTCCAATTTCTCACCAGGAAATGTCCCTTTCATGCATCCTCATTGATGGCAACTGCGATCATCCCCGTGTTATAAACGGGGAGGTGGAGGCGAGGTAAGTGACTTGCCTGAGTCACACTGATTAAAGGCAGCAGCGTAATGGCTCATCCAAGACCCAGACTCTTGGCTCCTAGGCCGTGCAGCCTTGCCTGACAATCCGGTCATTTTGCTGATGCTGGAGACAGCCCTGGATGACCCTTGTTCCCAGGCTGTTTAGGAAACTTCAGAATCAGAGGGGTGCCTGGAACACAAGGACCACATCCACAGGCTCCCTAGCCAGATGGGCAGGAGAATCACCTGGAAAGTTTATGAAACAAAAGATTCCCAGGCACCTCCCCAGACCCCCTGGATGCAGGGATCTGTATGCCTCACCTGCTAACCTGGAATAGGCTCGACATCTAGAGTTTGGGACCCAGGGATCTCACCCAGCCTTCTTTCCTCTCTGGACAAGCCCATTCTCCAGGTCCCATAAAGGTGGAAGGTGGCCCCTGGCTGAGCAGACAACGGTGGATTGCCTCCCACCCCCTCACAATGAGGACACACACCAAAGAGAACACAAGGGACTCAGCACAGGCTCCAGGCCGGAGAGACTGGAGTTTGAGACCACCATTTGGAACCTGCCTGATGGTGGACAAATTATTTCTTGCTGCTCTGAGCCTCAGTTTCCTCATCCGTGAAATGGGGTGGCTGTACCTACTCACAGGATGGGTTGTGGGGATTACGAGATAATGTCTGTGAATTATTCAGAGCTATGTGAATATACGTTATTTATTCTAACTCCTAAACAAGTAAGGTAACTCTGAGCCATGCTTTAGAGCATTCTGCAAGCAAACAAGCCTTAGATTTCCAGAAAATCATCGACAAGTCTGGTCATGCTCCCCACCTGCTTAAAACCTTTACAATTCCTTGTTACTCTAAAAACCAAGTCCTAAGTTCTGAGTAGGACAGAGGGACAGAGACACCCAGAGCCAACCTGGGGCCAGGCCCACTCCTTCCTGGCTGCTGAGTCTCAGGGGAAATGCTGACCCAGCCATCAGCCAGGCAGTCACCCAATCAAAGGTCGGCCCCCCGCCACTGGCAGAGCTGGCCCACTTTATCAAGTCCTTTCTCACCCATGCTCACCCCTGGGAGACAGCCATCTGGGGACACACACACAGGAGCATGCCACAAAGAGAGACTGAGGCCCAGGGAGGTACAGAGATACCCCAAAGACCCAGCCTCTACCCTTAGGCAGGGCTGACCTGCTCTGGCAGAAAGGAGTTCCCTCCTGGTTCTTAGGCCCATGTGGCCTGCCTGTGAAGCTCCCTGAAGCCTGCTGCATGGGGGCTGATGACAATGGACTCAGCTTACTGCTGCCAGGACACGAAACCTCCAGGGAGAGAAGAGGGGGGCTCTGTCCTGACCCCAGCCACAGGCCACAAATGACCCGGAAGAAAACACCACCCTGGGGTGCCTGTGTGGCTCAACGGGGTAAGTGTCCAACTCTCGATCTCAGGGTCATGAGTTCAAGCCCCGAGCTGGGCTCCACACTGGACATGAAACCTACTTAAATCAAACTAAAACCCTATCGCTTGAAACCTACTTAAATAAACAAAAACCCTACCCCAAAGTGAAGACATACCCCTACTCCCTTCATGAACACTAACTCTTTGACATCAATATCACCCTCATCATCATTAATATCATTCCCCTCGTCTCCAGAGCCGCGGAAGCCAGTGTTCATGAAACAAGTCATGCGTACGCGATGTGCCTGTGTCTATGGCGGGGATGTGAGGGTACGTTTCTGAGCACCCTTGCAGGAGGACACGTATGTGACATGTAACTGACACACACTAATAATGATGACAGTGCCCAGTGAGGGCACACTATGTGCCAGGCACGGTGCCCAGATCAGGTGTCACCTCCCCTCACCCTTGCAGCAAACCCCATGACACTGTCACAGGCACATCCCTTCCAACAGCTGGGAAATTGGGACTCAGGGAGTGAAGTGGTGACCACCAGGGCCACCCGTTTGTCGATGGCAGAATCGGGCCTCCGCCAGGCTCACGGGTTCACTTTGGCTTGAGTGCCCTGCTCACCCTGGGATCTGGATAAGAGACGTGGAGGGACGGGGACGGCGCAGCGTTGTCCCTGGACACCATGAGGTTACCGCGCCAGCTCCCCGGGAAGATGGGAGGGGCCCCCTGCCTGAGAGCACACAACCCACAGAGACCTGATGGGCTCAGCCCAGGGTCACCATGGAGGCCATATGGGCCTGGGGGTTTGGCCACAGTGGGTTCTAGCAGTGCCATCCAGATGATTCTGACAGAAGAGAGAGGCAGGTGGGGGGGTCCAGGGGTCTGGACAGCTCCTGGCGAGGACGGGGCGTGAGGCGTGAAAGGCCTGGCTGGGGCCCTTTCCTGGCCGTTCCCGGCCATTGGCACGTCCCCGGCGACCCTGGGCCCAGTTGTGGTATGTGACTCTGTAGGCCCAGAACCCAGATATAAGGATCCCACACTTGGGGCCTTACACTTAAGGACTGGCAGCCCAGCACTAGATGGTTCTGTAATCCCAAGGGTCTGCACACAGGAAAGGAAGGTAGGAAGATGGTAGGAAGGTAGGAAAGCAGGAAGGTGGGAAGGTGGGAGGGTAGGAATGAATGCATAGAGGGATGGATGGAAGGGAGGAAGGAAGGGAGGGAGGGAGGGAGGGAGGGAGGGAGGGAGGAAGGAAGGAAAGAATCAGCAGCTCTGTTTCTAACTGCTGTGTGGCCTTGGGTAAGTCCTTTCCCCTCTCTGGGCATCTGCTTCCTTTTGATCTATCTGATGATAAGACTGTGAGTCAGAGCCTTTCTCTCCTCATAGAGGATGACGCTGGCCCCACTGCCTATCACCTACCCCATGAGCCGGATACGTGAGCCAGCCCCAGTCTCCATGGATGGTTGATGTGTCCAGCAAGTTCACTGTAAAACAGGAGACAAGAAAGCATCAGCCCCTGGGACACCCTTCCCCTGTCCCACAGAGCAGCCCCACCTGGCCATACGGGTCTCCACTCAGGCCAGCCCACACCAGCTCTGTGTCTGTGGTCTTTCTCATTTCCCTTCTCCTTCAGGGCTCGGTTCGAGTTGTCCCTCTTGCCCGAAGCCTCCTTCCACCACCTCGGCCAAACCCCCAGAACGCAAGCTGCCCCAAGCGCTGGGTTTCCCTGGTTGGTGATGCAACGGGATGGTTAAGAGACGGGCTTGGGAGTCCAGGAGGCCCGGGCCAGAATCCCAGCCTTGCCACTTTAGGAGCTGTGTGTCCCTGAATAAGTCCCTGCCCCTCCCTGAGCCCCAGGTTCCTCCTGTGAAAAATGGGTGTGACAGAGGATCCTGTCTTACAGGGTGTTGTGAGGGACAACCCGATCCCCGTCTCGCTCGTGGGACACGACAGCATCCAAAAGCACCCACCAACATTCACACTCTGCGGTCATTTGTCCCACAGGAGGACTGGCCCCGGCTTTGCAATCACCACCGTCTTGCTAGAGATGACTGGCACCTAATAAGTCCTCCGTGCACGTCTGATGCGAAGAGATCGGGAGGAATAAGAGCGGCCTCTCGGCACCTACTATGTGCTGAGCTCTGCGAGGGGCGCTTTGGACGCCTCCTCTGTGACCTGCACAGCTGCGGAGAGGTGCTGATTCTTCTCTCTTTACCAATGAGAACACGGAGCCTCGGGGAAGTTCGGGAACATGCTTGGAGCCCCACAGGCGGAGCCAGCAGGGCTGGTGTTCGGAGCACCTGCCGAGGCAACGGCAGACAGCGCCCCCAGCCCTGGCAGGACCCGTGAGCAGTCACCGCGGTTGGGAAAGGAGTGATGGCCTGGAAGGCGAGTCTATTCTAAGCCAGATCCTCCAAGGGGACCCTGCAAAGCCTCCACAACACAACAGAGAAGAGCTTGCCTTTGGAACCAGACACTGCTGGGCTCATCTCTCAATGCAGCTACACAGTAGCAGGTGACCTTCACTTCTCTGACCCTCAATTTCCTCCTCTGTAAAATGGGGATAATAATACCTAGCGCTGACGGAGGGTAAACTGTGGAGCCCGGAGTCAATGCCTTATTAACGTGAATTCCCTTTCCCGAAGTCCTGCCCCTCCTGCCTCTCTCCTTGGACCTCAGACCTACCCATTCACTTTGAGGTGAGGAAGTGGCACTAACCTGTTCAGAAATCAGGGTTTGAATCTCAAATGCTGTGTGTCCTGGGTAAGTCCCTTCCCCTCTCTGGGCCCCTGCTTCCTTTGATCTATCTGGTGATGACTGTTCGGAGGGCTTTGGGTTCCACCTCCCCACGGCTTTCCATTTCGCTCTCTCTTCCCGCGCACCCCCTCTCCCAGCCTTCAATCATGGGCTTCCAACTAGGCTGGCTGGGCCAGGTTACAGAGGGTTAAAGCTGGGGCCCTCCTGGAACTTTTCTGCAGGGAGGCTGGGTGTCCTTCTGCCTGTGATTTGCATAGCTCTGCGCCTGCCCCTCAAAGATGGAGACAAGTGTCTTCAGGAAATGCTGGAGTGAGGATGCTCTCTCTTATTTGCTGATTTTCTCCCTCCTCTTACCCTCCCACCCCATTGTCAGAGCCCCCAGAGGGAAGGCCGGCTGGAGAGAGAGCTCGGAGAACGAGGGTCGGGCCTCTGCCCGCCTCCCTGGGTCCCCAGGGGTCAGGTGGGATCAGGCCACGGAGCCAGCGTCCGCAGAGGGATCTCCCCTCCCCAGCCGGCCCCACGCCAGGGGCGCAGGCAGAGAGAAGCCCTCCCGCCTCCTTCCCTTCCTCTCAGGCAATGGAGAGAAAACTGGGTCAGGCAAGCTCTCTCCTCCTGCTGGCTGGTGGGAGGGGGAGGGGGCCGCACTGCAGTTTCCCCCAGACTAGCAGAGCCTAGTCCGGGGAGATGACGGGGCCGGGGACCCGGGGGCTCCCCCATTCCAACCCACATTCCAGATGGGGTCTTGGAGCCGGAGGGCCCTTTCTCCAGCTTCCCCTGAATGCAGCTCAGACCTGCCCCGACCCAGGGGCAATCAGAACAAATGTCCACCACTCAGACTCCTCCCCCCTGGAGGGTCCTGACTCTCAGGGCGGGTGGGTGTCTGCAGACCCTGCTTTCCAGCCCCCTCCCACCCCAGGAAGCCTCACCACATTTGCTGCGGATTCTTGATCAGCCAGCCAGGGGGCTCAGATAATCCAAAGATAAGTCAAAAGTCGATTCTATCGGATTCAGGAAGAGCTATAGGATTCCAGGGCTGCTTGTTGTGACTCCTTCCAGAAGCTTCCCTGACCCTGCCCTCCTCTCCTCTCCCTTTGTGCCCCTCCTCCCTACCTCACACACCCTCCTAGGGGGGTCCGGGGGTGGGGTGGGGATGCAGGATGTCTGTCCGGGAAAGCTCCAGGCCCACCGGAGGTTTCTTCAGACTGGAGAGAATTCCAGCATGAGGCCCACCTGGCCCAGGCCTGAGTCCCCTTGGAAATTCAGACCCTTCTGGTCACCAGGCCTGGGCTCCCTCCTGCCTCTTGCACTGCTGGCCTATGGGTCTGTGTGACATCTGTGAAGTCAGTTCTCCTCTCTGGGCCCGGTCTCCGCATTTGCCAATGGGAGGACTGAACTCACCATCTCTCAGGGCCTTCAGGGAACTGAATCACTTAACCCCTCTGTGCTCAGTTTCCTCATCTGCAAGATGTCTATGGGCATCCCTCTTGGGCCTACCCGCCTGGGCTGTTCTGGGAGATCAAACGGGTCCCTCTCCTGCTCTGAGAAGCACAGATAATTCCTAAGCCTTTCCTGTTCCACTGTGGAAGGCATTATGCGATTTCTTTTTTTCTCCAGCACTGTCACCTTCCCCCATTCCATTTCGCTGAGACTAATACTTAAATTGATTTACATTCCCTGAGGACGCGGTGCATGATGGTGAGGCTGGAGAATTCGGGTGGCCAGGGGATGTCAGCCAGGCTGTGAACGCCTCGGTGATCACCCCAAAGTGGTGGATAATCCACACCAGAGAGTGATAAGGGGCTATGAGCCTGGTGGGGCTTGGGGGGCATCTCTGCAGGTGCAGGGCCCTCCTCTCCCCTGGCAAGAACCTGGCGTAGGGGCACTTGGCCAGGCTGGGGCACTGCCACCTTTGCAAGAGCCCGGCTGGGAATAGACGCCCCTCCCGGAGCTCCAACAGTCTCCCTTGCCAGTCCTGGCACTGTACCAGCCCAGGGATGATCCCGGGAGGGACTCGTGTCCTTCCGGAGGAAGGACTGTCCTTCGTGGAACCTACGCCTCAGGCTGTCCAACCTGCGTGGCTGCCCTCCGTCCCACTGTGGGTACCCTGCTTCATTGACTGGATGGCGTGCACTGGCCCCTGGACAATGCCTAGCCCTGTCCTGGACAAAGACTTCCCTCCTGCCTCTCTTTGTGGACCTTGTCTCTTCCCCAACTGCTGCCCCTCCCCTGGACATGTCCTCTCTCTCAGGCCAGTGGCCTGCCTTCGGCAGGTGAGCCTGTTCAAAGTCACCTCTGCAGGGGGACTCTGGGGTTTGCCAGCCTGCAATTCTGGAAGGTGCTGCCTCCTTCCTGGAGAAGATAATGGAAGAGAGGAGTTGAGGGTGTACTGCCCAGAGCCCAGAGCCCGGATCCCAGATGTGGACCCCTCGGCATCTACTGATGAGAAACTGTTCCCCTCCCTCCAACCCAAACCTGGGAAAACTGTCTTCTCAGGTCATAGCTCCGAGAGCCCCCAGGCCCTTCTGCCCCAATCCCGCCCTCCTCCTGGCTCACAGGCCCGACCCTCACTCAGTTCTCTTCTGGTGTCCCAGGAACCTGTACCTCATCGCTAGCCGCCCAGCTGGCCCTGCTCTGCCTGCCACCTCGCCTCTTAGCTCCCTTGCTATGGTCCCTGCTCCCTACGTGGTCCCTTTTTCACTGGAGACTGTAAGTTTATCTGTGGGTGCATTTATATGTACATATGCATTTCTGTGGGCATAACTGCAGGTTTGAGGGTCCTCTTACATACGTGGTATCTGCCCATAAATGTGCATATTTTCATGTGCGTGCATCTGTCCCCACATGTGTGTGAACACGTGTATTGGCTGCACTTCTGTGTATCTGATGTGGGTGACGTTGGAGGTGGGGGCTGTCCATGCAAGTGAGTCTCTACGGGCCTGGGTCTATGTGTGCAAATCCTGATGCGTGTCCGTGTGCGCACGTGTGCTTTCGGGGACAGCTGTATCTCTGAGTTGTTCGTGTGCAAGGGGGTGGATCTCTGGTATATCTGAGCGTGGATGAGGCACACTGGCTCTGGAGCTCCCTCGCAGGTGGAAGAAGTTCATCCTGC